CTCACAACTGAAAAACCAGTAGGCCAGGGATGGGGAACCTTTTATGGCTCACTCAGGAATTCTGGGAGTTGAAGTCCATAAGTGATAAAAGGGCCAAGTTTCCCTACCCCTGGTCTAGGCAGTCACTGGGAATCAAGATTGACTCAAAGGTACCTACTTTATTTAAACAAAAACTTTGGATTGGGTTGATGAACTCTGGGCCCTCCAACAGTGCTTATTTACAACCCACAGGTACCTCTCATACAAGGTCAACAGCATGGGATACTGTGAACTGTTGATCAGCAACAAGTGAAGGACACAAGTTTTTCACCTATCCACTTTTTAGCTTTCCAAAAAAATGGGCATTTTGTACTTGCTTTTAAGAAGTTTGAAGGGGAAAAGGCTGATCTGTCAGTGTTTAAATCAAAATGCTAATAATGATAGGGAGCGTACAGAATAACCAAGGTTCAAGGCTTCAGTAAAATATTGGTTTAGAGCAGGGGTGTGAAACTCGATTTCACTGAGGGCCGCATCAGGGTTGTGTTTGACCTGGGGGGCGGGGGGGGCTGGCACCACTGACTCGTGTCAGTGGTGTCTGTGGCCCGAAGGCTCTGCCAGTGAAAATGAGCACCCTCTGCCAGCGAAAACTCTGTTTTCGCTGGCAGAGGCATTGTGGGCCAGTCTTTCATTGTTTCCAGGGCAGCCCCATAGGCCAGATCTAAGCACCCCATGGGCCAGACGCGGCCCACGGGCCTTGAGTTTGACACCCCTGGTTTCGAGATAAGCAGAACTCTTGTTATTCTGAGGAGCATTGATATTGTCAAAACTGACATCAAAAGCTGAGACCAGTTCCACTGGTAGAATTCTTCCTGTTAACGAAACGCACCCAGTACACAATTCCAAGTTCGGTAATTTTTAAACCCGCACCTAAGGCTAGTCAAGAAGACCACAGTTTGATTAACATAATATGGCTTAGTGCGATGCATACGCCATGCATGGTTTGCTGTCCGCCTGCCATACTCAATGGGAGGGGGGATTGTGGGGTGGGATAAGCATGAGAGGAACTGAAACTACACATCGTGCCAGCCCGGGAAAGCCACCAGCCACTCCAAGATCACACTATGGAATGCAAAACCATCCAGCCCACGAAGACAGGGACTGTTACTCAAACAATTTGTTAGCACCTAGTTGGATTCACAGATAATGAGGGGGGAGAGGAGGGAAGGAGGGAGGGAGGGAGGGAGGGAGAGAGAGAGGCGGGAACAAGGGAAAAATTAACCATATGCTTTGTGCGTGAAAATCCCAAATCCGGCTTTCCTTCTTTTGTAATCACTTGGCTTTAGTAAAGTGTATGTTTGCTAATAATGTATTCAAACATCTTTCTTTTCTAAGTGACAGTTGGGATGATTGACAGACACTTACTTTCTGCTACCAAATCTGGGTATCATGAAATCTAAGAAACCTGTACTTGTTGCCTAATTCTTGCATCTTCCTTCTCCAATCCCATCTCCCAGGCCCCCACAAATACAGAATGTGTAGTTGTTATGACATTTATTTCTCACCCATCACACCACAAGGCAACTCTGGGCAGCTTACAATGTGAAAAACAATAAAACCATAAAAATACATACAGGCAATCCTTGACTTACAACCATTCATTTAATGACTGTTCGAACCTGCAACAGCTCTGAAAAATTGATGCAGCCCTTAACTACTACATTCTGACATTTCCCTTTCTATTAAAAAAGAAAAGGGTAAAGAAGTCCCTTGTATTTTACTCCATTAGTTGTTGCCAATCCTAGGGGGAGGTGTTCATCCCTGTTTCAAGGCCACCGAGCCAGTGCTGTCTGGAGACATTTCCACAACCATGTGGCCAGTATCCTCCCCATCAAAGTGGTACCTATTTATCTACTTGCGTTTGCATGCTTTCAAACAGCTGGATTGGCAGGAGCTGGGGCAAAGACGGTAGCTGACCCTGTCGCATGCAGCTCCGGTCTGGGACCTATCTTAACCACTGAGCTACTGTGCCGCCCTTCCCTTTCCTGCAATTCTCAAAAGCATAAATAAAGCTTTAACATCCAGGACTCACCTATGAGGGGAAGAGAAAGTGGCACAGGACTTCAAATCCAGTGCTGGGTCCGTCAAATCAAGTTCAAATATTTCTAGGGAAGCATTGGTACTGAAAGTGGCATCCAACTGCTGAGCAGAGGTACCTGCAAGAAACACACATTTGCTTAACACCGATTTATTATAAAAGGGCGCCTATGAATTCCAACATAATTCGGCGGAGCTAAGGAGAAGCCTTAACAACCGTCACTTAACAACCATCTTACTCACTTAACAAATGCAGTGATTCACTGAACCATGGCAACAAAGGTCGTAAAATGAGGCAAAATTAACTTAATATCTCACTTAGCAGCAGAAATTTTGGGCTCAATTGTGGACATAAGTCGAGGACCGCCTGTACAGCCATCTATTTAGAATATTTTATCAGATTCTGCACAAAGCAGAAGGTTGGGCTAGATGACCCGAATTCCTTCCAGAGGTGGATTTTGAGTGGGGAAAAGCAAAGGGTGTTATAGGGGTATAACTGTACAGCCTATCGCACTGTTGGTGAATGTCTGAAATGCTCATTAGGTAAAGAAACTTGTAACCTCCCCCACAAAAAGAGAGGTTAAGATGCTAATAGCCCTCTGGTGTTCAGGGCCCAAGTTTAACTTTAGGTAAAAGCTGCAAAAAGGCTGGAATCTGCATATACAGCAGGGTTTTCTCCCATGCGTCCATGCAAAGGACTGTACTATAAATGGATCTTTTCTCTTGGTTGGATGGCACAAAATTCAGAAAAAGCCATGAAACAAACGTTATTTCAATTTTGGAACAATAGCTCCAGTAATTCATGAAGTCAGTGGCTCTAAAAGATGAACTTCACATCAACATGCAAAGATAGGGCATGTGGTGCTAAATAGGAGATCTGAATTAGATGGATATTGTCTGTCTTAAATATTTCAGTTTGTTAGGCATCCTTTTCCACTTTCCACATAATCAAAGAAATGTCACTTTTTGCCAGTTGTAACTTTCAAGTGCAGTAATTATCAAGTATGTCCATGTTTGGATTGAAAAATGTAATTCAGTCCTTTTTAAAAAATCTGTTCAGTCCAATGGAGTGATAAAAAAATAATAACCCAGTCCTTTTTAATCTGTCCAGTTCAATAGAGTGGTAGGGAAAAATATGGAAAGGGACTCAGGGCTCTGTTTAACTATCTATCCATCAACACGATAGGTTTCCAAAAGTAAAAATAAACAGGACCAAAATTGTTGGGGAGAAAAAGAAGACATTGGTTAAAGGTCAGGAAATGCTACCCACCTTTCCATTTTAAGCAGGTCTCATCCTAGTCACATGACTCAGAGTGAAGCTGCTATTAAAAGGTTGCAAAGAATTTTGGACGCCACTCTACGCATTCAGATAACAGATAATCAGAGTTGGAAGGGACCTTATAGGTCAACTAGTCCAATTCCCCGCCCAAGCGGGAGACCCTACACCATTTCTGACAAGCGGCAGTCCAATCTCTTCTTGAAAGCCTCCAGTGATGAAGCTCCCACAACTTCTGAAGGCAACGTCTCTTCCATTGGTTGATTGTTCTCACTGTCAGAAAGTTTCTCCTTATTACCAGGTCGAATCTTTCTTTGATTAGTTTCCATCCACTATTTCTTGTCTGACCTTCAAGTGCCTTGGAAAATAGCTTGACCCTCACCTCCTCTCTGTCGTTCCGATCTAATCCTCTTAAATCAAACCCAACAACCTACCTGTAGCCAAGTAAATGGGATGATGTTGAGAAGGGCTCCAAGCCTGCATGGCAGTACGGTCTACCTCTTTCAGTTTCATCCTGCTGAGAAAAGGAATATAAAGAACATCAATGCTATTATCCTACTAAGATCACTTATTTTAATATCCCCCCCTCCCCCGGAGAAAAGACATCCAAAGGAAAGAAAGGAAAGCCCTTTTTCCTCCAGTTTCACATCTTTTTCTCACTAAAGACATTTCAATAACCAGCATGTGATTCAGGTCTTCGTGGATTGAATGCTTCTCTTTGCTTTAAACCAGGGGTCTCCCACCTTGGCAACTTTATGACTTGTGGACTTCAACTCCCAGAATTCCTCAGCCAGCCATGGAGTTGAAGTCCACAAGTCATAAACTCGTCAAACTTGGAGAAGCCTGCCTTAAACCGTCACTAGAGGCAAGAAAGATGGACATTACTCAAAAGTTATTTATTGCTAAAACAAAGACCAAACAAGTGTTCTCTTTATTTATTGATCTATTAAATTTATACGCCTGCTACTCCACTCTACTCCACTGTATTACCATCCTAGATCTTTCTCAAAATTAGATTTCCAAACTGGATTTCTAAGTAGAGTATGGAGCATTACGTTTCCAAATAAAAATACAAAATATATAAAGCCCGGTTAGTCAATGCTTTGTCCTCAGTTTTGTGGCATCCTATTATATTTGCTCTCAGCACTTTCAACATGTAAATAGGGTTTGAGTTAACAGAGAAAGATTGAGATAATTATAAGTGTGATGTTATGATGCCTCTCTCACAGAATTTCTTGGCTTCATGCACTAGGAAAGAGGCTTGTTTATTCTCCTTTATGCTCCACTTGGAATCTAAAATTACCCGAACATAAAATATCTGCTATTTGCCAGGTCAGTGTGCAACAAAGCACAATTCATGACTAATGAGTTCATGCCTATGGTTTCAACTGTCTTTCACCTTTAGGTCAGTATGCTCCTTATTTAAGAAGACATTACATTTCATCCAACCTTCAAAGCTTCCCCTTTTTGGGCAAAAGTAGTTAAGAAGGTGAACAGAAGGCCCTGGAAGAAGAAGGTTACCCAGATATATTTCAGCCAGGGGCATAATACAGAGCAGGGGTGGGCAATTGCGGCCCCTTCACAACCTGTGGACTTCAACTCCCAGAATTCCTGAGCTGAGATGGCAGTGTTAAAAACTCAGAAACCACCCAAAGACTATTACAACCACATGGTATCATCCTAGCACACAAGCCAACTTAAAGCCGTCCAAAACATCCCAAGTAAACTTAAAGACGCAGCAGCCCCAGGAAAAACAAACAAGAAATACCTATAACAGAGAGCACCAAGGATCTTTCCCTATAACATTTATTTTAATACAAGTGTCAATAAAGGAGGATATTTTAACTAAGGGTTGAAATGAGGGGTCCTTGGTGCTCTCTGAGTTTGGTTGTTTCCTTGCAGACATTTAATTAACCCAAACATCATCAGTGCTAGTAAAGAATAGGATTTGCTCTCAATTTATATCCTAGTAGCTTGCCCTGTCAGTCTTGGTTAGAGTGTTCAAGGTGGTTGGGCTGTTTACTGTTTGCTTGTTTGGCAGTTCCTTGATTGGGTTACTGTTTACTTCTTGGTCTTGTTGGTCTGGAGTTAATCTTAGTCTATGCTGATCTTTGTATTGATTATTGTTGGGGAAGTGTTTTATAGCAGGGGTCCCCAACCACCGTGGCCCGGACCGGTCCCGGTCCGTGGAACATTTTCTACCGGGCTGCCGGTTTGCTGGGCACCGCCATCTTGTTTTGAGGAGAAAGTGCTTCCGGTGAGCTTTTCCGGTTGGAAAGCAGCGTTTGGGTCCTGAAGGAATCCTCGCGCCTTAGTTTCATCGAAGGGGGTGGCTTCGAACAAAACTAAGGCGCGAGGATTCTTTCAGTACCCAAGGCAAGGCGAGCCGAGTGACCGTCCCAAAGCCCATCGACAAAGGTACAGAGGACTTGAAGGTGGCGGGGAGAAGTGGGGGACAGCTGGCTGGCCGGTCGCTCGGCTCACCTTGCCATGCGTGCTGATGCCGGTACCGGGCCGCAGATCATTTTGTGATGCCGGTACCGGGCTGTGGCACAAAAAAGTTGGGGGCCACTGTTTTATAGGATCCTCTCTCATATTTATCTAATTTTTTTCTGATGAAACAATTTAGAACATACAAGATCTATCAAAAAGCCACAGCAACAGAAGACAACCGACTGGACTTGCACAACAAGCTTTAAAAAAAAGACAATGTTGGTTAGATATAAGGAAGAATTTTGACAATGGAAAGGATCAGTGGTGGGATTCAAAAAAATTTACTACTAGTTCTGTGGGCATGACTTGGTGAGCATGGCAGAGAATGGATACTGTAAAATCTCCAGTCAGAGGTGGTATTTGCCGGTTCTCCAAACTACTCAAAATTTCTGCTACCGGTTCTCCAGAACTGGTCAGAACTTGCTGAATACCACCTCTGGAAAGGATGTTCAGTAAATGATGATCTTGGCTCAGCTGGACCTGTTTAAACAGAAACTGGATGGTCCTTTGCTGAGGATCCTATAACAGTGCATTCCTGCAGTAGGTTGAACTAAACACTTCCGTGGCTTTTAAACAATTCTACGATTCACAGTTTAATTATGGATGTGGTGACCGACTGGGCTCGTCGACTGGAAAGTCAGCAGTTCCAAGACCAAAGCACCATGTGACAGGGTGAGCACCAAATGCAAGTAGATAAATAGATATCACTTCGGTGGGAACGTAACAGCGTTTCGTGCATCTCGGCATATAGTCATGGTGGCCACATGATCATGGAAGCGTCTTTGGACAATGCTGGCTCCCTCAGCTAGGAAATGGAGATGAGCAGCGGCCCCTAGAGTCAAGCATGACTGGCAGGGGAAACCTTTATCTTTATAATTTAACTATAATTTATTAAATAAACCCAAATTAATGGGTTTATAGTATACACAAAGATATAAAACATGATTCACAAATCACACTTGGTGAGTCTGCACATCATGCTAAGATCCCAAAATATAACACACCAGGCCACAGAACTGAGAAACATATTGTGATGACTGTACTGTATTTTATACATTATTTTGGATCAATCTTGCAACAACTGCCTAGGCCAGGTTTTTTTTCCACCTAAAATACTATGTAAATCAGGGTTGTCAAACTTGCAGCCCGCGAGCTGGACGCGTCATGCGCTGGCCACGCCCACGCCTAATTTAGCGAAGGGGGGAAACTCCCGATATGTCAGGTGACACCGTCATGACGACGCGAGTTTGCCACCCCGATGTAAAAGCTATTTTGAAATAAAATGCTTGAAGCGAAAGAATTAGCCATAAAATAGTATTTGTAAGAGACCTTAAATCCCTACTTATTCATGGTCCTTCAATAGAAAGCAGTTCTTAATCTGGACATGGGATATTTTAAACTGTAGATAGTTCTCAACATACAAGTGTAATGGAGCCTGCCCATTATGGTCCTATGTTGTGACAGTCATAAATTGTGTGTTGTGACAGTCATAAATAACCAAACCCGATTTTACGACCTTTTTTGTGGCAGTCATTAAGTAACTACTGAAGTTGTTAAGCGAACTCATGGCTAAGTGACTGGTTGTAAGTGTAACACATGGCACATTTCAAGAATTCAGAGGGACAATAGGGGAGAGGCCTCTGCATAATCATATCTCAAATAATTCAACCTTTGATCCCTGGTTACTCTTTGCAGTTGTAAAGGAATGCTCAGAACCCTCCAACATCAAACAATTCTCCAATCGGCTCTAATGAGATGAATATTGAAAAAGAATCCTTAGCATTCTTTGCTTTCTCTTGAATAAGCCATAGCTTCTTTCCACTCACAATAATGGAAATCAGGATGCCAAATACAAGAATCTAAATCAACCCAATATTAAATTAAGTTTTATTATGCTACGGTTAATAAATTACCATGTCCCTGGATTAGTATTTATAGAGACAGGGCTCTCCAAACCATACAGAAATACGTTTTTGTTCGGTGTGAATTATTACTAGCAGTATTCAGATGCAAAGGCAAAATTTAAGTAGTCCTCAATTTACCACCATTGAGCCCAAAAATTATGTAGCTAAAAGAGAAATTTGTTAAGTGAGTTTTGCCCCATTTTATGATTTTTCCCAGATAGCGTAAGTGTGAAAATTGGTCATGGGCCACTTTTGTCAGTGCCGTTGTAACTTCGAACTGTCACTACATGAACTGTTGTAACTGTATAGGTAATCCTCGATTTACAATCATTTGTTTAGTGACCCTTCGAAGTTACAAGGCAGTGAAAAAAATGACTTATGACCGTTTTTCACACTTACAACCTTTGTAGCATCCCCACGGCCAGGTGACCAAAATTCAGATGCTTGGCAACTCCCAGAATTCCTCCTCCAGTCATGTTAGCTGAGGAATTCTGGGAGTTGAAGTCCACAAGTCTTAAACTTGCCAAGTTTGAAGACCCTTTGCACTCCAAAATTCCCATCCTTTTGAATCCAACAAACTATACAGAGGGAACAATAACTATGATTTTGCCTTTTTAATCAGGTTTCAAGAACAGGCATCAGAAAGGAAAGTCTGTGTTCACTCAAGCCACTGAAGAAAAGTTTAGCTAGCACTGTGCCCAGATCCTGCCTATGTGATTAATTTACGTTTCAGTGTGTTGGGTAAATGCAGGACATAAAAGAATAAACTACGATTCAATGAATCATGTCAGGTAACCTCAGCCACACAATGATAACGTGTACCAATGCAACAACCATACAAATTAGGGAAGTAACTAATGAAAACGAAGAGTGAAAATTCATGTATATGTAAGATTTGACATGTTGGCAATCTTATAGGACTTTCTATCTATGTATTTTGCAACTGATACAACAACTACAGATAGTCCTCGACTTACAATTCATTTAGTGACCATTTGAAGTTAGAACAGCAGTGAAAAAAGTGTCTTATGACAGTTTTTCACACAACCATTGCAGTATCCCCATGGTCATGTGATCAAAATTCAGACACTTAGCAACTGACTCACACTTACGACAGTTTTGGTGTCCCTGGGTTATGTGATCCACCTTTTGTAACCTTCTGACAAAGTCAACTGGGAAGCCAGATTTACTTTACAACCGTGTTACTAACTTAATGGCAATGATTCCCTTAACAACAGCAACAAGAAAGGTTGTAAAGATGTGGCAAAACTCAACCAATGTTTCACTTAGCAACAAACATTTGGCACTCAATTGTCATCATAAGTCAAGGACTACCTATAATCATAGAAGTGTGTTCTCTCTGTATACCTTCCCATGCTTGGATATCAACCCTGAAATTCAAAGAAGAAAAGCAGGCAATGAACTGAGTGCGAAACCCTTTCTGCAAGATTTTGCCCAGATGGTATGTTGTTCTTTCCTACAACCACAATCACAACCATGCAAACTCAAGAGCTACAAGAGAAAGATAAGTTTGCAAACTGGCCACTTTTCCTTTGAACCAGCTGAACGCTCCCCCCTCCCCCCCCCTTTTGAACCCTGGAGCAAATCCAACCTGGAAAGGTGAGAGTTGGCAATTCTTAAGGTGGCAAAAATATGGAATTTTAGCCCGGAAATTGGAAATTGCAGCGAAGAGCGGGGTTGCAAAAGCCACGGGCTGGCCTGCAGCTCCGTGTCCATGTCTACATCCGTGTTGTTCCTCTGTAAATCATGCCTAATTATGCATGCATGTATGTATGTATGTAAATAAATGTATGTAGTCATGTTTATGTAGCGTATATTGGACGGGGTGACCCTTTGGGAGCTGCATGCCACGAAATTTCATTTTAATGTCTGAGGATTCGTCTACATTCAAAGGGACCACAAAGTTATTATTCCATTTTATATTATATTCACCAACCGGTCTGGGCCAGCCACGGACAGGCCCAAAGCAGGAGGAACAAAAGCGGAGCCGAAGCCAAAGGCAGCGCCGCTCCCTGAGATCGTCCGGCCTCTTTTGCAACCGCAAAGCCGAGGCGGATGGGCTAATAAAGGGGCGTCCCCGGCCCCAAATCTCCCGTGTCCGCCCGCTGGGGATTGAAGGTCCCCCCCACATTCACACACCCACCCGGCAGACGCCTCACCTGCTCGGAGAGGAGCGCCGCTGGGGCCCCTCTTCAGGCTCCGCCGCCGCCGCCGCCGCCGCCGCCGCCTTCCTCCTCCAAGTCCTCCTCGGCGTTTCGCAGCAGCCGCGGCTCCTCCACGTTCCGCTTCAACGTGGCAGCCGGAGCACCGCCTTCATCGCGCCGGCTTCCGGCACTAACCGCCGCCCGCTCGAAGGCTGGGCTGGGTTGGGCCTCCTCCGCCACGCAAGCGCGGAGCCTTGGCTCGCTTTCTCGGGGTCGCCAGCTGAGGCGGAGGGTCCTCTGCCCGCACGCGAAGCGCCTCTCCTTTCCCGCGGACGAGGCCGCACCGTCGCAAAAGGCGGTGAGGGGCTCGAGACCCCCCCAAAGGGCTACGCGGGTCTCCTGTCGCTCAGTCCACGGGCAGAGATGGCGTAGGGCATTGAACAAAGTCTGCCTAATTTTTTGCAGACATTTTTTTTACAGTTTAAAGGACAATATTTGTAGCTCAGGCTTGAAATGGTCTTTGGGGCTCTCTGAGAGTGTTTTCTTGCAGACGTTTCGTTATCAAACTAGGTAACATCATCAGTGCTAGCACTGATAAGGTTACCTAGTTAGGTTTTTTTTTCCAGAAGGCAACTGGAAAACAGAAACAAAGTCCAGCTAACTCCACCTTTGGGACAACCATGACCTGGAGGAATGAGAATCTCTAGTTAGGGTGACAAAATATCTGGGGGTGTGGGGGGGAGAACAAGGAAGCTCAGAGAGCACCAAGGACCCCTCATAACAAAATTTAGCTACAATCAGGATGGTCTTTGAATGTCGCCAAATTTTGTTGTACTTGTCTGCAAAATTAGGCACTTTTGACTGCCCTATCCACCACCAATTGTTAAGAATAGTTTATTTCATTTGAGTTTATTAATGACTCAAAGTTTTTATTTAGTTTTTTGAAAAAGCAGCAACTGATATTTTTGGAGGAAGAAGAAACAAAGAATGAGACATCTGGCTTCCCATCCAGTACTTCCAATCTCCCCAACTTTCCAGTACAACTGACTCAGAAAAATATGTCACTGCTTTTCAAAAAACAAAACACCTTTGAGACAACTATGACCTGGATGACAGAATCCTCAGACATTTGACTTTATTAATGCTTACTTATGCTGGTCTGTGATTGCAATAAAATTACTATTATGGTGGGCATCCAGCTTAGCCATCAGGTGCGAACGAATGCTTTTGTAATTAATCATGATTTCATGAAACCTGTTGGGTAGGTTCAAGCATCACGCTAAGCCACCTTGTACAAGGAGATAGCAGTCTAGGCAGTGCTAAGCTATAACTAAAATTGCTTGATGCTGGATCCCCACATGTTCAGACATGCTTCTTTCTGGCTTGAGGTTATAGACTAGATGACTAGCCCTGTTCTTGGCTTTTGCACAAATTGCTAAAAAAGTAAATGTTGGATATTCTGTCAGCCACAGTAAGTAAAATATTTTCACTTAATGTCAGCTATACCTTTACACCACAAAAATGAAATATTAGTGCCAAATATTGATACCTATCTGTACATAGCCATAAAGCATTGTATCTTAAAACAGCAAACCATTTACATGAGGTATTTTCCATTTACATGAGGTGAGGGAATCTGCCCTAAAATATTCATACAAATCCTGAAATATCTTTCAAGCAAAAGTTTAAAGCAATATTCTTTATTGGCTATCCTCTACATATGTGATTTGTAACTTTTATAATTCCCCGCTAAAACAGGGAAAAACTGGGAAATAGGGATGCTTTAGTGTAAAATTTTCTGGTGGATGCCAGTTCAGAAAAGGGTGCCTTGAATTCTGTAGCAACCTGGTAACAGCAATAGGAGATCAAGTCAGAAAATTTAAAGTTGTACTATTTATTACATGTCATCAAGTGGTTTTTGACTCATAGTGATCACATAGATAAGACAAAGCTCTGCAATACTTATTCTTTAAACAATGACCCACCACTTATTTCTGTAACTCCAAAGTTTGCTCAAGACTGATCATTTCATCATAAAGGATTCTTTTATTTAAAATGCCACACAGAAATTACACACTTATGTATCTTGAAATAAACATTTCAACTCCTCTGCACCAAGAGTATTGTACAAAGTATTGTAGGCACTATTACAATGCTTATGAATTCAGCACCCCCTCTAATAATACAGTATAGAAATCAAAACACGTAAGGCAACATTAAGGTATTTCTTTATTATAAATAAAATCAGTAAAATACAAGATGTTGACTTCTATACTTTTGACAAACCTTGAACTTCATCTCCCCATTTTCTCTTGGAAACCTGATCCATTAAAGGGAGTTAAGTTTTAAAAAACAGACGGAAAAATCAGATGAAAGTTGAGTTTTCTGCAACATTGATGAAGAATCCACAACATGAAATGTTTGGCCTTTTAAAAACATACCTAAAGGAACAAAAAAAAAAAGATTTCACACGTAAAGTTTTTGAAAAGCATGAGACTTGATTGTACATTAATCTCTAAGTTGTATTTTTAATGTTGACACACTGGTGTTTTTTAAAATAAAGGTATAATTTAATATTTTGTGGTAAGGGACAATAAATTTAGAAAACGATCCCATTTTATGTAACATTTTAATCATTAAAGATCCCTATGTGAGACCTGTCAAAAGTTATATCGTAGATTGTCACAAAATACAGAATAGCAGTACATGCAAATACTACACAAAATTTTCTATGGGTGATACAACCATATACGACATCTTAATAATGGTTGATTTCCCATAAAATTTTTGCATGTGTGTGATCAATCTGATATGTATTCAGAAGGTTTATGAGTTCTTGCAGTACTGTTTTGTTTATTTAGTTGCTAAAACCAAAAAAATGCCAGCAATTCACTGGTTTAGTTGCAGCTAACAAACCAAAGCTTATTAAGCTTGAATTTAGTGAATAGTATATGAATCCCACCTTTACTGACCCCCATTAAAATATATGGTTTGCTCAACATAGTGACCTAGTTTAACATTACCCCCATTGGATCAATTGTTTTATTCTCTACTAATACGGTATTGCAAAATATTTTAATGGTTACCTGGTTATCCTCCAAGAAATTTGTTTCCTGAAACCATGAAAGAAAACACTGTGAATACACTGAATAGTACAAATTATATTTACATCTATAGGTTGAAATATACTTTACCCAAAACTGAAATGAAACAAAATATGGTGTCCTCATCTATGTGAATAATAATCACAGCAAATCATGATGTGAACAGCAAAAGTATTTTAATCATTGAACACCACAGAAAAACTGGCAAAAGAAAGGTAAGTCTGAACATCCATGTTGCAGATATGCAAACATATTAGCCTAGCATTTTAAAAGTAAATTATATTTTTTTATGCATAGTATAATCTGGCGATGTGCTCCAGATTCCTTCAGTTAAATACCACTTATCAGGACTCTGGGAGCACATCTTCTCTGTAATAGTGCCTCCCCTTTGGAACAAGATTCCTCCTGAGATTCAAACAGTCTGCTACTGCTGCTTTGAAGGCTCTCCAAAGGTGTCTCTCTTTGCCCAGCCCTTTGGCAAGAGATGATTTATACCATTTTGCATTTTCCATGATCCCCATCCAGGTTTGTTTTCTCTGCCACCTTTTTTTTGCTTTGTTTTGCATTTTTAAATGTTTTAAAGTTTGTAAACTGCCAGAATCACTGGGAAGGAGGCAGTACTGTATATAAACCTCATTGTTAATAATTTTGTGGCAGAATTCTGAATCTTTTATGAATAGTATCAATTCATAGAAATTATACATAACCATGACAAGTTGTATGCATTCTTAGTTATATTTAAGAACAGATTCACTGGAATCAAAATATTTTATCAATGTTTTAATTATCCTTTATTAATGTACTAAACAAATTTATATGGCTGTCCAACACAGTACCTCCAGGTGGCTTAGATTAAAATATTATAAACATAAGAATCCATAAAACCACCAACTCAATTGTGGAACCACCAACTTATGCAAATATGAAGAAATCTGATTCAATGTACAAACTAATACATGGAAAGGAATCTCCAGGGGAAAAACAAGTCTTACCTCAAATTTTGGGACTCCATGCTCCAAACATTGCATTCTTTTAAAAAAGCAAAACAGCGATTCCTTTTTATCATCCAAGAGTAAAACGGTCCGTATCTAAAGCACAAACTACAGCTAGAGGTTTGAGAGGCATCTCCTTAAGTCAGATGTAAATCACATTACCTATTGTATTTTTAGTTCCCACGTTTTACCATAAGGTAATGGGCCACTTTAGTAGCTATACCAAAAAAGCCACAAAAAACGTTGCTTCAGGAGAATTCTTCTATATAACCATCAGAAGCCAACTGAGGGCCAGGCTTTGCTCCGACCCCCAGGGATCCCTCTCAACCCAGAATTCCCAGAACTTCAGTGATTCGGGTTTGCCATGCAACACGTGGCTTCAGTTCAGTTTACTTTATTGGCCTTGCACCTGGTACAAGGAAATTATATGCCACCTTCAGTGCACATAATTATAACTATAAAAATAAAGCACAAACACACAACCTTCGCATTCTATACAACTGAACTGAAAACCCCTGATATTGGCATTATTATATTATATATAATAAGCCAGGAGGACGGCATCCGATTTAAAAGGCAAGTGGTATGGAAGCAAATCCCCACCCAAGTTTCCCTTCACCCGCGCAAACTACAACACACATTATCCCCTCCCAAGAGCCCGATGCTCGCCCCTTTCAGCCAGAATTAAAGGCAAACGAGCGAGGCGGTTACCCTAAATCCTTCCCGACCCCGACACAACGGATCCCTCGCATGCAATTTCAAAGGAAAAAGAAAAAACAATCTCCTGTAATTATTTTTCCATTTCTATTTATCTAACTAAAGTCCCTCCGCGAGGAGAGCGAGGGCGCCTTCATAGGGTCCCTCCGACCCACTGCACCCAACTCCCGCCACAACCCAGCGCGCTCTGAAGCGCCGCGCGGAAAGAAAGCCCCGCTCCAGAACCTGCGAATAAACCTACACCCTCTTCCTGCAAGACGCGTTCCCATTGGTTTACTGTCAAACGCTTGGCTTTGATTGGCGCAATGCTTTTTTTTCCCCTTCCGCTTCCGGTGTGCGAGCGTTCGGCGGTTAGTTCCATAGCCATAGAGTCATCA